AAAAAAAAAAAAAAAAAATTTTTTAGAAAAAACCAGGGACTAACTTTGAATGTAAAAATGGATTCATTAACCATTGGTAAGTATGGGAAAATTGTTGTTTACTCTAAAAAAATTTATTTTTTGACCAAAACGAAGAGTTATTATCCCTTTAATTTATGATTAACAGCATAATCACCACCAATTTTAACCATCTACTATACCTAACATGGACAATCAGAAAAGTTACTACATGCACTATTTGGGAGTTCTAAGTCCCACACTGAAAATGCCAATATGTGAATTATGAAAATTCCAAAAAGAACTGCACTGCTTCCAGAATAAAATGCAATCAGACTGTTTTTCCAATTCAAGATGTGTTTAAGTCCTATGTTTATTTTCATTAAGTTTGATAATTATAACTGGCATGGTCTTTCTGCAGTGCCCAAAATAGGGTTTCTTCAATTTTGATGCAATATTACATAATGCTTAACAGCATAATCATCACCAATTTTTAACTATGCACTGCAGGTTACTAAGATATTTAGAAAACGTAACTAGCAAAGGTCTTCAGGTAGATGGAAGTTCAAAGTCACAATTTGAAAATGCCAATATGTGAAAAAGGCACACTTCTAAAAAAATGCATTAAAATAAGGCGATCAGGCAGGTGTTTGAACTTGACCTGTAGTTAAGTAATATTGATCATTCCTGTAAGTTTGAAGACAATAGATCAACCATTTTTTCCCTTAGTGTGTTCTCTGCATTGCATATATGCTAAAAAGTGGAAAAAAAAAAAAAACGTATAACTTTTGTAAAAATGGTCTGATCAAGCTGATTTTTAAACTTCACCTGAATTTCATGAATATTAATCAATTCTGTGAGTTTGAAGACAATAAGTGAAACAGTTTCCACTTATGTTATCTCTGAAAGTCGTTAGGGGCCGATGATGATGGCCACAACATGTGTCTGTACATAAAAACTGATTTATTATCCTTCTTCTGCACACCTGCCATCTGCTCTTAATCCTCTTTCCATTGAAATGTAGGATTTGCTCTCTGTCAAGAATACATGTCCCTTTTGAAACATTTAGATTATGGTAATTTTACACCTTCAGTAACAATCCAACAACTGTGCACACTCTTGTATGCACAGGCCTTGAGTGTTTTTTTAAAAGGTTAGAAAAGGGATATAGCTGATCTATTGAAGAGTTTTATGAGCCTGTCTAAAAGTCGAAAATCTTGCCCCATTCTTACCACAATGAAATGTACAGCTGGCTACAAGTCAAGAAGAAGGCCATCATCAATGAAAACTACAAAATCCTTCACTGCAGGGGTTGAGTATTTGGACTATCATTTGCCTACTGCATGTCACCTAGATGTTAGAAAAGCTACTGAATGAGCCATAGTGTAGTATAATGTAAAATTTCCGCACATCATAGTGGACGACTGGTGATTTTTTAAATCTTAATTTGTGTATGCTTCTTTATCAACCCTATATACAAATTCTTCCAAAAATATGTATATACAAAGAAGAGTTCTTACAACAAAATTTCTAAAGTTGGCAGACAATGTGAATATTTTCATTCTTTGGCTGATTCACCAGTGACAGATTTACCTTAATTACAAATAATACAACAGCCAGTTATTAATATACACGATTTAGAACACAACACACAATTATACAATTGTTACAGTTTGAAGAAGAACATGTGCTTACAGTATATGAGAAGACAGAGATGCATCAAACCATTCATTTTTTAGCTTGGCAAGTTTTATAGTTTGGTAAAACACATGTAATAGACATTTCTCTGAGGTAAAACGAACCCTTTCACTGCCTCTGGGGCACCAAGGAATTTGTTACAATAGAGAACAACTAAGACGAAGGACGAACATGTGCACTACATCATCACTTTGTGCTTATCATAACCTTGTTTTTCGTAGTTCTTTCTTCCAATTTACGAAGATTTTATGAATTCCTCGTCAAAAAAAGTAAGTACCAATTGAGTTCGTTCACACATTAATACACGTTTGATAACGCGTTAAATCACATGTTTCTTTGTATGATTGCCTTCAAGTTGGTTTATCATAAGTGAAAACGAATATAAAATCGCTACAAATTGAGCATTTTTTTCTCATCCTGCTCTATTGTTTTTGTATACCTTGTTCGGTGTTTAAGAAACAGCCGCTACAACTTATGATGTATGAACCTAGTTTTCGTATTTCGTCTTCATTGTTCGTCGTTTGCTTAACCTCTAATAATGGATCATAACAAGAGCAGGTCCAGGTCCAAAATATTTACTTTTGGACAAAATGTGTTGATTTACTGTTCTTTTGTTGTAGGCATCAAATTTTCTCCAGCACCAGGTTTGTCCTCTTCAACATTTAATTCTCTAATTTCTTTCTCAGCCTCTTTTACTGTATTCATACTTTCTAATACAGCTTCTTGTTCTTGCTTTAGACGTCCTTGTTCCTTTTGGTACTGCTCTGTGAAAAAAATTAGACAAGAGTAGTAATTCAATAGGACTAGAGCCATTTTAGATCATTGCGTCGTTACTGCATATATATCCATCAACAAGAATTTTTTATTCGCCTTAGATTTGAATTACATTGTACAAATATATTTAACAAGATTAAGGCTCCGTTCACATGGAAAATCTTTTTTTTCAAAAACTAAAAATCTATTTTCAGTATCTTGTGATCGCGGTCTGTGCCCTGGATACCCGCAGCGTAATTACTGGCAGTGCGAGCCAGTTACTTAATTCCAAAGCTGTAATTATTTCTTGGCTGCTCTCGGAGGAGATCCCTAGTTCGCATTCTATAAAATCTCATCCTCCGTTGCCGCATCGCTTGCCATCGGATCATGGCGGTTGCACTCATATCTGTCGTGTGTATAGCTTCTTCATCTTCTTCGTCTTGTTGTTGCAGAAAATCGACAAACACATTTTTCAAAGCAACCGCGACCGCCATTTACTTTCTATCTTCCTACTGCGCATGCGTCAAGGTATCAGAATCTCCTCCGAGCGCAGCCGAGAATTAATTACAGCTTCAGAAGTAACTCGCTCACGCTGCCAGTAATTACGCCACGGGGTATCCAGGGCACAGACCGTGATCACAAGATACTGAAAATAGATTTTTAGAAAATAGAATTTCCATGTGAACGGAGCCTGAGATAAA